ATAATATGTCTCGCAAGACATTTGAACGTTTTCTTCCAGAGTACTGAGCCTGCTGTCTTTCCATTGCAGCATTAATCTGTGAATGTCCTGTAAATGTCCTGGCATCACTCACCTTTACTGACAACCCAACCCAGCTACTGATTATTTTTCATGGAAAGAAATTGGGCACTATGAGTATTCTCTACATGCCGACTTACTGGAGCTGCTAGGCAATTGCATCTGGAACCAATTATTAGTGAGCGTCATGAATATTAATGGGTAGAATATCTGTATCCGCTGAGTTCAAATCCCAGATAAATCATGCCCAAACTACACATGCTCAGATCCGGCTGCACCTGCAGTAATGTGTAAGGTTCTGTTTGCAGTGACATAAGATCAGGCCCTAAAGTCAGGGCAGAGAAGAACAAGGAGAACGATGCCCAATGTTAGAAGTATCATCCCCAATGTTAGACAGATGAGTAATGTTTAGATACGCTAGGGGCTCTTCAGTCATGAAAGGAGACATTCCTTTAAAGAAACTTTATAGAAGAAAACAAGACTCTAAATGGGATTGAGAAAGAAACTCAGAACAATACTTTTTGTTATGTCAAAATAGCCGAACAAGACCAGGTTCAGGGTTGCAAAGGGTAATCACCCAAAAGGATAGACCCCCGAAAGTATTTGTTTATGCAGAGGGTAACCATGAGTGCACAAGTAATTCCTGAATGCAGCTTTGTAGGATGGTACGTGGTGTCACTCTCCCAGTACTGACGTGACCACTCAAAACAAGTGCTGTAGTCTTGTCAGTGCATCCGAGACCTCAGAGCGTTTCACTAGCCGATGTATAGCAAGACCTGGAATACCGGTCATTTTGTTAGCAAATCCTCATTAAAAAGGAAACATTTCTATATGTGAACTGCCACAAAAAAATTTATGTGATTGTTTACACTAATATTTAATTGAATGAGATGAGACAGAATTAAGGCAGCATTTCAGGAGATATTAGCAAATACATCTGTGTATAATCAGATTCTGTAAGCATGATTAAAAATTTAATATGGTGAAAAATTTAATTTCATGGATTGCTAACAATAGTAGGAAGACGCAGCAAGGTCAAATACAATGAAGCAGGAAATAGTTTTTCTTGAAATAGTGTGTAGCTTAATAATAAAAGCTAATGTTCATTTTTGCCGGTATCATGATCGTTATGTTTAAAAAAAGAGGCTAAATCCATGAGTGATTTTGAAGATCAGTTCTCTTTTATCAAAAGTACTATAACGCTTGTGGGAGTAATCCAGATAAGGCGCAATATCAAATGCAAGGATTATAATTATTATAATTCTGTTTGAGTCCTTCTTGATGTCTGGGTGACAACAGTTGTCATGGTGCACAAAATTATCAGTTCGAGCAATTTGTGCAGTTATAACACATTCCTCTTACATTTAGTGTCGGATTGAAAGTAAAGCCTTGACTTTTGAAAGAAAACAACTTTCATTTTTACACCTTGTCACATTTAAAAGCAATAAATTACAGTAAATTACTGCCAAGTGTAGTGGCTGCTTTTGTAACCATCCCAGCAGCCATATTGTGCATAGCAAATATCCACAAACAGCTGTGGGGTGAATCTTAAGATATATAGAGAGGGGTAGACAGATGAGTAGAGGAAGGAGTTACACAGATCAGGGCCAAAGTAGCTGAAGGCTTGGCAACCAATGGTGGCACAGGTGAAGTGACATACAGCAAGCCCAAGCCTATCAAACAATTTGGAGTTACCATTCACATATCCAACACTGGAATGAGCACAAACCAACTAAGTCAATTTACACCAGCTCATTATCATGCTGATCTTGTTTTCCCCTATGAGAAAGTAATTAGCAAAGCTGGAGACAGCAGGCAAGAAGCTATTTGCAGTACAGTCAAATTCATGCTGAGCTAGGCACTGCAAAGCGAGAATTCTGTAGGCAAGATCAATAAAATGCAACTTGAGTACTGTATTTTAGCAAACTCATTAGGAGTACATTTTCACTGACATAAGCAAATGCAAAAATCTATTAGTGCAATATGCAACTTGGTACTAAGGTGTTAGTTTAAAAACATTAATACAGATTATCTTTGCTTTCAAGCTAAGAGCACTTTGAGATCAACATCTCTGTCTAAAGATCACTTTCTCCTATAAACCATTAAAAATAAACTATGCTCAAACAATTCTTGTACATAATGAGCTTGATTGACAGGCTGTCAGGGGTTCAGGCACTTTGCACAATTATTCTTGTTGGAAGCCCTACATATTGGGATACAGTATACTGCAATATAAAACAGTTTAACTGGCAGTAAATTGAGAGATCCAGTTATACCCTGATTGAATTGGATTGCATTTATCAACAAAATTTGCCAAATGTAACTCCACCACAAAAACAATTCTCCCAAATACAGATAATTCCAACAAGCTTGGAGAAAGACAGCTCATAAAATGAACAGATTTTTCACTGTGGGAATTCCCTTGGGCGATACATTTGTGCTAAGACTGCTGGGGAAGGCAGCGATAGTGGTGGGCGGGTAAGTGGGGCACAGTAATAATGACTGAATCAAGTCAGTGTCCTCTGCTGTTGCACTCACTTGTGGTGTCAAATTCCTCTGGTTCCACAGGGAGATATTACCAGGATTGCTAAACACAGTGTTACTAAAAGGGCATCTTAATAAACATCAAAACTTTACCCCAAATTCATCTACCATCCACCTCAGGTCTCTCTGCAGGAACTTGAAACTCTTCCAAAGGCTGCCTTTGCCTACAAAATAACAGTCGCTGCACTTGACACTTGACACTGAAACGCTTTGAGACATTTTGATGCATTAAGGCACTATAAAAGTCTCTCTTTAAAACTCCTATTGAGGTAAACGCATCAGTGATTTCAATAGGATGGCAAAATCAATGCTGCACAAAGAGCGCTTCATTTTTGAAACATGCTGCAGAGCTGAATATGCAATAAATGCATAACTTCATTCTCATCACTGGTTAAATACAGTAGTCCAATTCCCCTGTGGTCTCAGATGATGAGCTTTCTCTATTCCTCTCATTCAGCATGATGTTAATGGCCTGCTAATTGCTGGCAAAAATTAAGCTAAAAAAAATCCATTAAGACCAACATCTAGAACGGTGGGGAGGGGAAGTTGACTGGTTCCGACCTCCACTTTGTTTTCACCCCTCACTAGCATTAGTATCGGCCTGGCCCTGTTGATAGCACTCTTGGCTCTGCCTCAGAAGTTTGTGGGTTCAAAACCCATAGTGGGATTTAACAACAACAACTTGCATTTATATGGTGCACCTTATGCAGGATAGCGTCCCAAAGCGATTTAACACCTTTTTACGCAGTCAAAACATCTAAAGAGCTAAGTATCCAGTAGGATACTGGGGGGGAGCTCTGCATTATGCCTTATTTCAGATAAGATGATAAATTGAGGTCTTGTCTGCCAGCATGTTGTTGGGGTTCTGATCCTGCTGGCTGGCATAGCATCGCATAGCATAGCATAACAGATTAGACAGCTGAATGAATGAATCATCCTTTGTTTAAAGCCATAGCTTTACTTTCATAGTAAACATGAGCCAAGTGGATTTAATACGTTTTGTTCTGCCCACATAGTAACAGTTAAACTTCCCTTACGTCCATGACCTGACACTCAGTATTTATTATATGGCACACTGGAATTTCTAATCGCGATTTCTAGGCAGGTTTAAATGAAAGTGTGTTAAAATTAATGCTTGCATTTGATATAGAGCTTTATCACATTGAAATGTCTTCAAGTGCTTCACAGAGTTTTCTATAGTGCAATGACTGTGTATTTGTAGGTAATAATCCTTACATGACGTAAAGCATCTTTCACAATGAGAGGGTGTCCCAAAGCACTTCACAGGATTTAATGCGAAGTGGAATGACTGTGCAAACTCACAGTCACAGGCAATTAGATAAATTGTTATATATGCCTTACTGGGTGCATTGGTCGAGGCAGAATTAAGAACAACATTACATTTATATAGTAAAATCATAACTTGTAGTAGTGCTTTACTGTGGCAGGGAGAAACACCGAGCAGGGAATAGGGTAAAAAGGCGGAGATGACCATAGGCATGGTCAAAGCGACAGATAGAGGGGCAGATGCGCCAATGGGGGTGGGGGGGAGGGGCGTGGGGGGGCTGCAAGACGAATGGGTTGAGAGAGGGTATCAATAGCCGCTCCTGCAGATCTACAACAATCCCTGCTGAATTCTCTGCTCTAATCTTGTACATCAATTGAGATGTTATGTTTCTGCCACAATTCTTCAGTAAAGCATTGAATGTGCCATACAGAAGGTGGCAGAGTTGTTCAAAACTTCATGGAGAGCAGAAGAAAGATTCTAAGAGAGAAAAGGGACATCAGAATTTCAGCAGGGGATGGAGAACAACTGAAGAAGGGATCTAATTGAATCTCCGCACCCATCAAAATGATGGTTTTCAATATCAAAATCACAATGGCAACTTTTATAAAAATTTAACAGTTTGGGATATTTCATAACTCATTCAATGTGATAATTATCACATCTAAGATGCTACCTTCATCCCAAGGTTTCAAAACGAAGCTTAACAGCCCGACATTTGTTTCTTACTCTGTGTCTGATGGGCCCAACCATAATTATTCGCAATCATGAGCTATGTACTTTTTTAAACAAACAGCAATGACATTTGACTTTTTAAGCACTTTGTCTAGAAGTTGCCATGACACGCATCAAAGTGCCTCTATAAACTAATTTTGTTTCCAAAAATAAGTTCCACTGATATGTTATGTAGAATAGTACCATAATTCACAGCTAAATTAAGCAGCAATGATACTTTGTAGCTGTCAATAGATTCCATAATACACAGCATCACTGATGCATAAAAGCATCCGAGTTACCGGCAGACTGACCTCTAAGTGGCTGAAATGTCAGTCTATCATCTACAAAAAGCAATCTGGATCAATGCAGTATGTTTTCAATTACACATAAGTTTTACCTAGGATAGCAACAACTTCATCATCTTGGATGACTTCCAGTGAGCCGGAAACCACAAAGCAGAGGCTGTCCACACTTTCACCTGCATGGTAAATAAGATCGCCTGGAGCACAATGTATGGTCTGAAACTCCATTGCCAGGGCACGTAGGCAGCCATCACTTGCTAGTCTAAATGCCGGGTGCTCTTTGAAGACTTTGCGATTTAGGTGCACGCAAATATCTGCTCGCATATCCTTGGGGCAAATCTCTAGAACCTGCAGATGGAAACAAAAGTGCACATTAAAAAAAAATCAATTTCTGTTTCATCATTATTGAAAAGCTTGCTGTCTTGTTTCTTTTTTAGATTGTATCTCATGTAAAATGCAGGAAAAATGTCCTTGGCACAAGATAGCTGGGCCCTGTTTTTATGTAATGCCCAAGTAATTACTTCTGCAGACAACTGTTCATACATTTTTGATGCTGGTCGTTGCCAGGTTGTCCGGAAAGATGAAATTCAAAAGCCAAATCCTACCCATTCCCCTCATGTTTCTCTACCATAATTCAGAAAAGAATAAAATGCTTGATATGATTATATCACCAGATGAAACTTCAAGTTTAAACGGAAATAACTTTTATAGTGCCACATCATGTCAAAGTGCTTCACATGTAATTTTCTTTACAGAAGGGGATTAATGATAAAAATGAGTTTATGTGTGTATCACCATGAATGTGTGTTCAGTGTAGTAATTTTTTTAAAAGTACATTGATGGAAGGATAGAATAATAATAGAATAATAATAACCCTTATATTTGATATAGTGCCTTTCATGTTGGGTGGATGTCTCACAGTGCTTCACAGGATAGACTATAAAGTGCAGTATTTCATAGGTAAACATGACAGTCAATTTGGGCACAGCAATATCCCACAAACAGCCATGAAGTAAATGCCCAATTTTACTTGGGTGATATTGGCCAGGACACTGGAATAAACTCCTTTCTCCTTTGAAATAGTGCCCAGGGAGGATTCCAAGTAAATCTTTAGTATCCTAAATTATTGGTGCCTTTCTCTCAAAGCTGGTTCAAAACTTTATGACCAAAACGTGTGGGTGGGGTTAATTTTAAAATACAAAAAACAGCTTTCAGTTCTTTTTCATTTAAGCATTAACCCATTGCTGCAGATAGATTACAAGTCAAATGCAAGACTTGGAGACATTGTAATGATTTATTTATGATGTGGTAGGTTGTCTGGAAGGAATTTCCAGACTGTAAAACTGTAACTGTAAAATCAATGCTGCCAACAGCTAAATGAAATCTGTAGAATGGTGCAACTACTATTCGACTGCATATTTGTAACCCTCCAGATAAGGCCCAACACCTCACTGTCTTCACCTGAAGATCATTGTTGTAATGCTTAAGATTGTGCAGTGTTCTGCAAGGTCTTAAATTGTGTCCTAACTTGGAAGTAGGTATTTTAGAGAGAATCAGAGAAAAAGAAAAGAGAAACAGGGAGAGAAAGAACAACTTGTATTTATACAGCCCCCTTCGTGGGTAGTGTCTCGGAGCACTCAACAAAGGCATAACTTAACATAACATAACATGAAGGAGCAGGAGTAAACCATTCGGCCCTTCGAGCCTCCCCAATCATGGCTGATCTTCTAATCTAACTCCAACTAATAACATAACCCTGCCTTATCCCCATATCCATTAATCCCTTTTGCAATAAGAAATATATCTATCTCAGTCTTGAATATGTTCTAGGACTGAGCGTCAACAGCCCTTTGGGGTAGCAAGTTCCATACATTCACCACCCTAACTTCACACCGAGCTGGGGAGAGAGGGGAGGTGACTGTAGGCACGGTCAAAAACAGAGTGAGAAAGAGACATAAAAGATTAAATGTCTAGTATTTCCAAGTAAGTACCAAAAACAGAATAGCTTCCAAATGCTTTGGAAAGTGTTCTTCTGTGTTTAATTTCTCAATCCCATATAAAATCTTATTTATCTTTTGTTTGAGGCATTCCTTTTCAAGACTGAAGACAATAATTGCTTATTGCTCATTCCTTTAACATTGGAAATCACTTAATACTTTCCCCCATTTTTTCTGAACTGCCCTAACAACTGTCCTCTGCTTCCTAATTTCCTTGCCTAATTTCAAATTTATGTCCATGTCTTGCCTTTGATACCCAGAGACATGAGTTTGTGAAGCTTTTCATGTGGTACTTTACCAATTACTGAGGTGAGGCTAATAGGTGTGTAGTTGTTAGGTATGGCCAAAAACGTGGGAGAATCGGGAGAGCTGCTATTTAAAACCCAGGACCTGCTGGACGGACTGCAATGGTCCTTTTCCGGTCTTGCACATTCCTGTTCAGAACAAAGGTAGTGCACACTGACGACTCAGCTGTCAGAGCAGAATAACGCCCTCAGCAATTAGGCCTCAAGTTAAATCTTTGAGCATCATGTTGCACCACGGATCAAGTGCCCTGGCGATGACACTCATCACTGAACAAACTCTTCCCACATCCCACAGTCAAGAACACAAGATCAAGATTTATTTTCTTTTGTTAGACACGCTGGCATATTATTAAAAAAAAAATCAGTGTGTGGGAGTGACTACAGGTAAAAATGATTTCATCTCCAAGTTCAGCTCAGGGAGAGGTTTACCTTTGATGAAATTGCCTCCTTATTCTCTATTTTTAACATGTAACTTGTTCTCTTTCAATTCCAAAGTTGATCCCTGCCTTGAATTATCGGATCTCAGGCATGGTCTCAGTTAAGGGGCTAGTTTTTTTTCAACTGGGAGAGGATGGCGGGGTAGAGAGAAATGGAAAGAGCTGGGGGAAATTAGCCAATGTTCACATTTAGCAATCCAGCAATGCACTGGTGCAGCAGTAGGTTGTCTTACGGAAACTGGACCTCAAGCTCACATGACCACTGCCAAGATACCAGAGGGCTGCCCACACCCTCAAAATCAGAACCAACCTTGATGAGAGGAGAGAGGAAATGAACAGTGAGTGGGAGGAGAGACAATGGAAATTAAAGACAGAAATTGTACCTTGGATCTGGGACTGAGCAACAACCGTGCAGTTCATGTCAGAACTTTGCGGGGCTGACTCGTTTCTTAATCTTTTTGCTTTAGCAAACTGGATTGTAAATCAAAAGAGAGTGCATGGATTACGTTTCTCTCCCACCCCCTATATTTCCATGCTCTAGGTCTCCCGACTGAGCCAGAATTCCCACAAGCTCTGGCGGTCTGTGAAGCATGTTCCCCTCGCTCCCATCACAGCAAGACTTTCCACAGCGTGATGAAACTATTTAATTTTGTTCAACGCCTGAACACCTATTTTATGGGTTACATTTTTTCTAACTCACTGCACTCTACTCCCAAATCTCCAATCGCAGTTGTTCAGACAGATTGTTTTACTGCTGGCCTGGGGGAACACTGCAGCTTTCCAGTGGAAGGATAGAAAAAAAAATAAGAGTTTTTAATGGAACACCAAAAATTATTTTTCATTTTACCATATTTTTCACTTTATTTTTCGCCTCTTTATTTCAGGCATTTAACAACAACAAAAACAACTGCATGTGCGGAGCGTCTCAGAGCGATTAACTTAATGCGTTATATAAATGCAAGTTTTTGTTCTTCCTTTTTTCCTCATTTAAAATTTAACTTATTATCTTTCTGCAGTTATAATTTTGTTATTAATATCCTAGAGTTCTTATCTCCTTCTTCGTGTTACCTTTCAAATTTATTTTGCCATGTGTATTTTCATTGCTCAAATTTCTTCTCCTTTTCTCTCTGCTCTCAGTGGTGACTTTAGCTGGGGTTTGGTTCCTCAGCACCACTATTCCTGTTTGAGCCTTGACAGTGATTATCAGCAGACATGTGACAGTGGAAGGCATCGCAGCTGAGCCCGATGCTGTCCTCATCTGACATCCACAGCTGTACACTTGGGAATCCTGACTGATTTAAGCCCCCCACCTCCCAGTTGAAGCACCTCAGTCGCTAAAAGCAGCTAACTCTGTGCCCTTGAACTTGTAACCTCCCAGTTATTGAATGTAGCCTTGGAACGTCTTCCTGACGTGAAAGGCGCTACATAAATGAATTTGGCGTTGTTGTGTAACTTCACCATGCCAAAGTCTCCATGGTTGTCAAAGTGAATGGGTCAGAGACTCTGGCTGAGGGAGAACAGCTGAAAACAAAGAAAGTTTCACTTAAAGGAATTCAGATTACCCACTGTCCAGTCCGACACTTTGGTCCCTTCAACATGTTATGCCAACATATACCAATCGTGAATCAGCACTGGGCTTAAAGCATCTAAAATGATGGAAGTTACTAAAAAACTAATGGAGGTATGAGCATCACCCATTAATGAGATCCAACTTTGATGCTAATGTGAAAGTTTGAAATCATAAAAAAAGGCTATGAAATTTCACTAGAATTCTAAGATAGGTTCCATTACTTTTAGAAGGTATAGGGATAGATCAGGGAATTGGAATTAAATTGGGGAAAAATTTGTCATTCATTTCATGACTGTGAGTTATTGCTATGCATAAATTGACTGCTGTGATCACCTAAAAACACAGTCATTACACTTCATAGTAAAATCTTGTGAAGTGCTTCAAAATGTTTCAACAACATGATAAAGCTCTATATCAAATGGATGGATTATTATTTATAAGGATGACTTAATTGGAGCTGTAAACACTGACTCTGATATAATGGGTCAAAAGACCTTCTAAGTTGTTGTAGATTTCTATGGTTGGATTTCAGTATTTGGATTCTAAAAGACTTGAACACTTTGCTTTCAGGCCTAATCTTTATTCAGTTGCAAATTATTCATTGCTGCTATTAAAGATGCGCTGATATGAATGTGGGTGCACATGGGCAGTTTAGAATTCGGACTAGTATTCTCTATTAGCTACACTGAGGAAAGCCATTTCTTAAATGTAGTACAGAAATCAATTGACATTGTTCCAGGACACAGTGATGCAGACATACCAACAGGGACAGATTAACAAAGAATTCCTTCAAGTGTCACTAACAACAAGGCTCTGAGATCCTGAAGCACAACCAAATTAAACTAAAATAAAGCACACAAGGGAAGCTTGGAAGATAAGGATTTAGCAGTGGAGGCTCATTGAGAACCCAGGGTTGGTTCAATTGCATAACGTAGGGGATGGCATACATCCCTACAACTAAAGGTTGACTTACATTGATTGTACATTAGTAGTCCATTTCTGGAGTTAAGCTTGTTTCTGCAGACAACTGGTAAAGTAT